CTGCAAGAGGAGTACAGCTAGGGGAAAGGGAAGGCACGCAGGCTGCACAGGGGAGCCAGTACCCAGCAGGAACAACCCAGCATCTCTCAGGCGAGGCGTCTTTTGCTTTCGCATCCCAAACTTCCAGACATCTGCCCCCAACTCATCAAGTAGATGCTGAAAATCCTTTAGGCTAAAGGTCTAGCACCTCATTTTCACTGATCCCCTCATTATGCATTGCTCATAGCAGTTTTAGTCCGTGGGTATTGTTCAGACTGGGTTTATTTTTCTCTTCCAGTATTTCCCTATTTGTGTATGTGTCATCTAATGTAAGGGTTGCAGTAGTAATTGCTACCCTTCTGTGGAAATGCTCAGTAATCACTGCAGTAAACCTTGCAGAACATCCAGAAAGCAGCTTAGAGTTGGCTCCAGACAGCCTTCATTTACATACCCAAATGTATTTTTGTAAAGCTAAACTAAATGTGTGTTTATCAGACAAGTCATATACTCAAAACTACCATGTCTTCAGCCTCTTTTCCACAAAAAGACTTGTCCTTACAAGGGAGCTGGAATTTACTACTAGCATGTCAGCTACTGTTAAGCAGAAGCCCTTCTGCCCAGGGAGCACACAGTAATCCCATTCCCAAACCAAACCTAAAATCAGCCCGGAGCAAGTTACTGTCCACGTTGCGTAAGTGGTTATACCCCCTAGGAAGAAAACAAAAAACACAAACAAAACCCAAACACAACGCAAACAGAAAACCAGAAGAAAAAAAAAAAAAACTCCAACAATTATTTCTACTGGGGTGAAGTCTGTCTGTGGTTTTGTGCCCATCCATCATCTCACTAGCTGTTTTGGTGATTACAGCTGTAATATGCACCAAAAATGAGGCCAGACAGCAAGGCAGAAAGAAATTGCTGATGGCATACAACTGTAATTTATTTATTCTAATTAATCACTTAAAAAAAGATGATTGAAGTCTTCTGAACAGAGGCAAGCAGTATTAAGGATCAAACTCTGCATCACAGTTAGACAGTGAACTTCATCGCACCAAATAGATCCAGAGGAACTACATACAAAAAGGATTCAATCAATAGCTGACAATAACAATACCCACCAGGTTGAATAATGCAAACAGCAATATATGCAAGCACGTGCCTTTGTTTTTTCAGAGAAATAACCTTCTGAAATGGGAGCTAAAAAAAAAAAAAAATCTCAGTAAGAAACTGACAGTAAATGAGCTATAGTTCCTTCCAGGCAAAAAAGTGAAAAGCAGTACAGAAGTGGAACTTTAATTAAAAGCTTCAAAAGCAAATAATAAAAAATACATATATAGCTAAATAAATATGAGTAGAGAATGTGGAGTGTGTGACAGCATCACAAGGAAGGCAAAAGACATAAAAGAATAACAGTGAAAACAGGAAAATTGAAAGAAAAAGTTCACTAGGCTCTATGAAATTGAGATGAAAAAAGACAATTTAAAGATCACTTGTAGTTTACTACTGTCTTAAATTCACACAGGCAGAAGGAATATTTCCTTAAGTAACTGTATAACATAAACTTTGGGGGTGGGGGGAAAAAGAGATAAAATTATAGAACTATTCACAGGTGAAAAAAATGGAGAATACGTTTCAAAGAGGTGTTGGAACTGAAATGCTTAAAAACAAATCCACTTACTGCAGAATTGTATTTCTGAAGGTCAAATTAAAAAAAAATAAATATATATGTAGGTGCATAAAATGAAACTAAGGCAAAACTGAAAGCAACTAGATCTCTCAGACTGCGCCCCACTTCTGCCTCCTCCGCCTTTCCACTCAGTTGCCACCTAACCTGGAAGGCAGCTGTTCACTCCGTGCCCTTCAGTCCCTGATCTGAAGCCCCGGAATGGTAACTGCATGCCCAGAAGTGCCTCGGGTCTGTAGGGCAGCCTTCCTGGTACATCATTCATGCTGTAGCTTGAACAGGATTCAGAAACTGGGAGTTCCCCTTCTTCAGCTTGCTGAAGCACTGGCATGGTTGTCGTCTAGGAGTATGCTTACAGCTCTGCAAATGCAACTGTAGCTCTCTGACTAACTTGAGGATTTTTATATTGATTTTTGTCTTAAGCAGGCCTTTCAGAAATTACAGCAGCTGACCTGGAAGCAAGGACATTCCCATCTGAACATTCCAAGCTTGGAATTTGTCTCCTAATTCAGGTTTCTAGGTTCCCTCTGTAGTCAAGAGGGGGCTAACCAACACAGCCAGAGGGATCCAGACAGCAAGTAACTCATCCTACAGCAGACACTCTGGTTAAATGAATCACTGCTGACTAGCTGACTCCATCATCGACTATGGTGGAGTTTCGACACCAGCCTAAAATTAATCCCTACTTGCTGGCACCTAAAGTCCCGTTACAGTTCAATTGCCCCTGTATTCACTCGCTTAGGTTCAGAGAAGGTCACTTTCCTTGTTGTACACTGGTAGAGACAGAACGGGAGGGGAGAAACTCCCTATCAAAGCCTTGCATGGCAACAAGCTCATGTCACTAAGAGGAGAAGTAAAGGTATGATCCCTTTCAGCTAAGAAATGCAGCAAGCACCAAAGTTTTCCCCATCCTGAAAAAGTATTCCCACTACTTTGTTAAGAAAAAAAAAAAAAAAAAAATGCATCGGCTCCTTTCAAACTTTCTCCCAAAGGAAGTCTATTTTGTCCCATTAGATAGAGGACAAACACCTCACAGGGCACCGGGGCTCCAAATCCCAGGCACATCCCCAAGAGGAGAGGGCAAGTCCCAGAAAGGACAAGGTGTCTACATACACACTTCTTCCGACTGTTTTCTGTGGGCTGGCTATAGGTGAGATATAAAAATATTTAGTACTGTACTCCATACACAGTGGACCGGGGCCACGTCACAGAACTGCCTTGCAGAACCCAGCTAAAAGTCTTTTCTGGTATTTTTTACCATCCTTTTCTCTGTACTGCAATTGTACCCATATAGCAGTGTTAACTTTTCATATTTCCAGCTCCTTCTCACAATGTTTACATAAAGATTTAAGTAAAAGAAGCCATGCATCTTCTTCCCAAGAGCGGGAAGATCAGCTCATGACAGATAAGTAACTCAGTCATTCATCAGATCATCGTTTCCTTCCACATAACATTAATATGCTTGGGTATGCTTCCCCTTTGCCAAGGCATTTCTGTTTTGAAACTTATTAAAATGTATTCTATTTTAATAAATGATGAAGAAAATCACATGCCAGGTTGCAGTGTGTAACACACTAAGAAAAGTTAAAGTCATTTCAGGAATGAAGTCAAAACCAAGGTCCTCAGCGTCCTGCTCCTGAATTCACCCAGAGAACATTTGAGAAGTGCTTTGTACGTATCCAGCATGAACAAATCTAGAGGTTACGTGGTTACGAAAGTGACATTTCTACCTGAATCAGCTCTCACTTCGATCTGCAAAACGAAATCCCAGACGAAGCATGACCGAATTTTGTTCTGAAGATTAGCAAGGAGTAAGGACAACAGCATTCAGCAAAAACAGTTCCGCAAGCAGTTGTTTCACATACTTCTACGTAGCCTTCCCAACACAAAACATCAAGCGGTCCCATGTTTATTTCTAAGCTAAGGAAGATTACAACACAGAGGTTTAGTTTATCCCATATCTGCATGTTGCATTTTTGGGGAAGCTATGCAGCATATTCTGAATGAAGACTATAGAGCTGAGAGATAGATAAGGTTCTTACCTATTTATCTGTTTTTACAGCTTTGTATAATATATGCTATATAAATTTTTTTTTCCCTCCCTTTATTTTTTTATATATAAAAACAGCCCTTCTGTACTAGTTAGGGACACTTCAATTACAAATGCTGCCAGAAGCTCCAAAATGAGCGAGCCACATAGCTATGATTGGTGCACAGCAACAATATGTGCTGGATGCATTACAGGAGAAACATACTGTCTCGGTGGAGTAGGACTGGAAAAGTCACCCACACTGGCAGACATGAGTGATCTGTCACCAACCAGCTGTAGAAAGAGGTTGCAGGGAGGAGGGGGGGGGAAAAAAAAAAAAAAAAAAAAAAAAAGATAATTGCTTGAAGGATGAGAAACCAGAGAGTCCACTGCAACCACAAACTGGTATTTAAAAATTGCTGACTGAAAAGACAACGCCTCAGAAAGAATTGCCAGACCATTAGCAAAAGTCCCTATCCTTTTATAAAACAGTTTGGCAAGATGAAGGGAGGAAAGGAAACAGAGACAGGAACTAACACAGAATTTACAGTGTAAGGCTACGGTAGGTAAGAGGTGCTAAGGAATGGTCTGTCTGAGGTGAGCTAGCAGGAAGGCATGGTACTCATCTGGTGAGCTTTAGCGTGCTCTGATACTAGTATAAGATAATTTAGTCCACAAAAACATGGAAAATAGTAAAAGCACACTTTACAGGCAATCAGTGTTCTACAGAAAGTGACAGTCCCTTACAGAAAGTTCATGGCAGAGAATGGCAATGTACTTTGCAAATCAGATGTGAAGGTCCTGTTCCATCTTTTGCTATTAACTGACAAATTCAGCACCCTTCTTACGGAGGACATTGCTACCTTTGCAAGAGTATGCATGGCCCTTAATAAATCCTGGTGAAAGAGAAAAATAGCACAGACAGCAAATGAAAAGACATAAAGCTTTTCTGACCTTTCTCAATTCAACTTTGTTATAGAAATGCAATGATCCATATCTCTAAACCAGAATATTTTAGATGATTTAAAAAAAAAAAAAAAAAGTCCAGTTCTATGGCCTGAGATTACAAACACAAAATACCGCATGCGTGCAGTATTTGCCTTGCAGCGATTGGGGTAGAGGCTACTGAGACAGGGATATCATTATGGGTTACTTTCAAACCAGAAAAGTATAGCATGTTGCTTGGCTTGTCAAATCAAATTCCACTCCTGTTTCTTATAAACAAAGCTTTTTCGTAACTTTCAAAAGCATCAGTTTTTCAGTTATTGCTGAAATGTAGCCACTTACGGAGAATTTTAATGTACATACTGTAAGCTCCTTCCTCAGCATTGCAGGTGAGCAGCCTGTGTCCTGGACCAGGAGTAGCAAATGATTTCAGCACTAGAAGAGAAAAACATAGAGAAAAAAAAAAGTCTTACAGGGAAAATAAGGAATTATTTGTTAGAAAACAAACAAACAAAAAACCCCAACCCTGCTAACAATCGGCATTAGTCCAAGAATGAACTACTTAACATTTTTCAAATCTGTTACTAGACTGCAATACTGAAAGGCAGCCTAAGTTAGACACAGTAATATTAATAAAATATATCACAAGTTTTTAGGCAGTGTTATTCCTTTGTACTATGTATTTATTATCCAAGACCATGTCCCACAACACAGTTTTGTACAAGCACATGATGAAGAATCCTCCAACACACAGGTTTACTGGGGCAGGATGAACTTGTGGAAGAACGTTAACCTTGTTTTTCATAGGAACCAAACCACATTCTAAATCTATCTTTTCTGAACGTTAATAAACCTTATAGCTACGCAGAACTGCAGTATAAAAAATGACGAGCCAGTATTTTTTTAGATTTGAAACACTTCATGGTGAACCGTAATTACTGATCAGCTTTATGAACAATGTAATGTCACATTCAGTGGCCCTCACAAACTCAGTTGGATAAGTAATAGACGTTCATGTTTTTCATGCTGGGCTAAAATAAATGTGAAGTATCACATGACAAGACAAAAGAAGATGATCAGAGCTTACAGCCTTAAACTATTAATTTCTTGGAAATCACAAAGAAGGCTGCCAAAGAATCAAAATATCTTGTAAAGCACTACCATGTGCTCCCAAAATGGAATAATTCACATTCGGCCACTTCTTTCCAAATTCTATATGGTACCAGAGGAAACTTACTTTTCCTCATGTAAGCAAAGCTGGTTTTAGGAAGTTCAGAGAAACACAGAAAGCAATTGGTGAAATGAATCAATAGATAAATAAAGACATGAACTGTACAGAATTCTTCTTTTTATGAAGAAAAGGCATTTAACAAGCACTCTTGTAAATTAATGAATAATCCTAAAAATAAAGCTATCCCTGTCTGATCACACAATATCAGCTCGAGTATCTTTGTTTACTCTATTTAAAGCTAGCAATATCTGCGCAAACTTAATGGCTGTACAGCTTTATGCATACTATGCAATTTCAAAAACAAACAGATTTATTTTATGCCAGGAATGAGCACATTAAGTTAAGAACAGAAGTCACAAAGGTTTACGAATAAAACCAACCATGAGTGAAGAGATGTAAAGACAATTATCCTTCTGCTTTGCAGCTAAACCTTGAAATCAAATGTCCCACCACTGAGAAAGGAACAGAATGGTTTTTGGGAGAGAAAGATGTTACCTTCATATATACAATGATCTTATCAAGCTGAGCAACGATGCCAGCACCGAAGTAAAAAAAAACGGGTGTATGTGGCAGAAATCAGCAATTCCGAACAACTGCACCGAAGTAAAAAAAACGGGTGTACGTGGCAGAAATCAGCAATTCCGAACAACTGCACCGAAGTAAAAAAAACGGGTGTACGTGGCAGAAATCAGCAATTCCGAACAACTGCACCGAAGTAAAAAAAACGGGTGTATGTGGCAGAAATCAGCAATTCCAAACAACTGCACCGAAGTAAAAAAAAACGGGTGTAGGTGGCAGAAATCAGCAATTCCGAACAACTGCAGAGATCCGAGTTCCACATCCAGCCTGATGAATCGACTTGTGCCACCAGCAGCCAGCTGACTCCCTTGCTGGAGCTTTAGAAAGCCAGCCTTAGACACAGCGGCATGAACACCGTGTGTGTGTGTGTGTCCCCCCCCAAAAAAAAAAAGGCTGCTCCGAATAGGACATCAAACTCCTGGAGCACGGCCACGCTGAGCAGCCGCGTGCAGAGCTGGGGAGTTATCCCTGCCGAGAAGCTCACAGGCACAACGGTGGGCACTGGGGAGGCAGCGTGCAGGCAGCTGATAAATCCCTGCACTCTCGCCCCCCCTCAGCTGGAGGAGCAGGGGTCCCTTCCCGTGCAGAGGGCAAGGAGCGCCGAAGGGTTAGAAGCTGCCCCTGCCCTCCAGCCCCAGGTCCCTGCGGGGCGGGGAGCGCGGCTGATGCCGGAGGGAGAAGCAGCCAGGAGCCAAGAGCAAGCACGGGAGAGCTGGGGTCGTCCCCCCGCCCCTCACCACGGCGCAGCCCCACAGCAGGCCAGGGCCCACGGGCGGGAGCGCCACGCTTCGCCAGCCGTCCCCGCACAAGGGTGAGGCGCCCAACCGGGCGCGACGCCGAGCTGTGAAACCCAAGCAACAGCTCCGGAGAGGCAGGAAACAGAATCCCGCACGGGTGTACCTACAGCTCGGGTGTACCTACAGCTCGGGCACAGACCCACGACCCGGGGGGCTGAGCTGAGCCAGGCCCCTGAGCCTGCGGGCTCTGGGTGGAGGTGAAGACCCAGGTGAGGGCCGTTAAGGCCTGTTAGCGCCCTCAGGGCCCTGACACACGTGTAGAGAGAAGTAGACAAACGAAACCTGAAACTCTCTGCATTCCACGCAACATTAACGCTTCTGAACTAGGGTTCAGTCCTCCTTGTCTGTAAGACCGTGACCACAGTACTTGGAGACCCTCTCCCACTGGCTTCTAAAGACGTCCGATTTATAGATTCTGCTGTTTAGGTTCTCGCACAACTGCTGTTCCACCATTCCGTGTGGCACAGACGTACGGTATGGAGTGAGCTCATGGAAAACAGAGAAAATACAACAGATCGGATGAGCAGAGTATGAGACCTAGGTTTCTTCAAAGACGTGTTTAGACTGCAAACTATACAGTGCTAAAATACTCTGTTAATTAATATGCATATATTTGCTATGGGAAAATGTATAGTGTATATACAGAGCAAAGATACACAGAAAGCTAAGAGACACAAAGTAGCAGTTACAATGACTAGCCAGCAGTAAAAAATAAATAAAGATGTCAAGTGAAACAGCCACTACCCACATTGAAAAGTTTTCAAAAGGATTGGCATATCTTGCCACTATTAAACCACTCATAAAATAACTGTTCAAAAAGTTGGAGTGCTAGATTTTACTTACACGCCAGCAATTTAAAGATAACTTGCATACAAGCTGTACTTTTATTCACTGTTCCCTGTGCCCTTCTTCCCTCTGCCCCAAAAAGTTCTAAAGATATGAATGTCTGTTCAAAGACGAGATGAGCTTCTGATGGTTTCTAAAGACCTAAGCAATAAACAATCACATCATAACTAAGAATACAGAATAGTGAGCAATTACTATAATAGTGGATGCCTCTGAAATCAGTGAAATTTGTATTGCAAGAAGATATTCAAAACTGATACACGTTTACTCAGCTTTTTTTTCTACTCCATCCAAACTTTACTTCAATGTTTTACAGTTGTATTAAGATAATATCTAAATGTTATCGATCCTAAGGCTCTCATCCACCCAAGTATTCCCCTTTTTTTAAAAGAGGTTTAACATAAAGAACTAAATTCTGTGATACTTGGTATGATTGACAGATCATTATGAGAGCTAATTCAGTTGATTTTTTAGACCACAAAAGTCTGCGAATAAGTATTCCAAGAGATGATCAGAAGTTATACAAACCAACACAAAAATAGCTGTATTGTCATAGCAATTCAGTGTTTTACACAAGAGACAATGCTCCCGATATGCCAGTTCTTTCTTTCTCGATTTTAATCTTTCTTGACAATTTCTGCTATTTGAAACAGACAAAAGCATCCAAGATTTCAAACTGATAATTCAAGAGGTGCTGGGTTAGTTGGTAACTCAACAGTGTCAGTCACTAAAAGCATAGAAGGTATTTCAGAGTGCATCCCAAATCATTTAGGTTTGATCAAACTTGATTAAAGCGATAACCTGAACTTTAAGTTGGTGCAGACATGTTGAACCACAGGCTTATGCTGAACTTGAAATTAAGATACTGAGCTCCAGGGAAAGCTTCTTGGCCTGGATGGGATGGGGCAGAATACTGTTACCATGTTCGCAAGAGAACAGCATGCTGGGCCTCCTCTGTTGGCCAGGCCAGAGGAGCAAAGCTGTGGCCTTCACTGCTCTTTCCCCTTTGTGCTGACTAGAGCCTCTGCAAATGCAAAGGCTATAATTGTCTACGCTCTGAAAAGACAATGGAATGAAGGAAAATCTCCCTACACTCTACTTACTCTGTATGCAACCGCAAGGAAGAGTTCTGTTTTAGCCTCACATACCGTAATAAAAATATGGTATTAAAAAAAAAATAAAAACAAAATAATAATTTAAAAAAAAAAAAAAAAAACCACACACTCAAAAATCAGAAAACCAAAGAAGTTATTCTTCTATACAGCAATGTTAACACAAACATGGTAGAACCAGGGAGTTGGTTTGCAGCTCCATACGTAGTCAAGCTGTAGAATGACGGTGTTGTCACAAGCAAATATTTCATGCAGCAATAACTGCAAAAGATTTTGCCAAGATTCAAAATATCGCAGAGAACATGCAAATTTTCATTAAAATGTCTAGACCATATAATTTTACAATCCACCTACAGCACAAGGAGGGCTGAAAGAGGACTTTTTGACCTTTCCATTGTCTCCTGTTCCGGAGACCTGCAAAGAAGGTCTCGTCTAAGAGGTCTGTGAGAACCAGAGCAAATCTGTCAAGTCCACAGGTATCGGCATTTCATGAGTCTTCTGCGCTTGTCTTGTCAGCTTCCCCTCCCCTGTCCTTTCTCACATCTCACCGTAACTCCTTGGGCCACCGGGGTCACATCAGCAGAGGTCTGTACTAAGTAACCTGACACTGCCCACCACGTTCAGCCAGAGGAGCATCACCAGATGCAGACAAGCACACCTAGCCGATCATTGCACAGTGCTGCCTGAAGAGTACGAAGCAACAAATACAACCTACAATTCAGTTTCTATTCACAATATATACAGCCTGATTCTGCAGCCTAAAAAAGAGACTAGCTTTCCTAGAACAACAAAAAACTAAAGCCAAAAAGAACTTCAGTAGATCACTTAGTCCATTCTTCTGCCATAAAACAAACAAACCAACCAACCCAG